TCACTGTGAAACACAGAATTCTGAGCCATTCTACTGGTGTGCAAAGTCGATACAAAGTACAGCTGTATCAGTGTATAGAGAATGTATCACAACTCCTTGGCATGTTCGAGATGCATGTTTGGAATGAAGCAGAATTCTTGAACTTGCCTCTTCTTTGACCAGAAGATATATTCTAGGTACAATATATTTTATACAGAGATGGTTTACACTTTATATAACTCAAATTATAACTGTATCTATAACTAAATAAAAACGATTAGCTAAATAAAACAAGGTGAAAAATCTGTGTAATATTTTCCTTTTGTGATACCACAATTTGAGTAGCAATATCACTTGGACATGTTTAAAAATGTTCAGTCTAGCATAAAATACTCTGGAATGTTTTTGTATTAAGGGGCATTTCTAAAGTAGTTTCGGACTAACAGTGTTGTCTGTTTATTTCGTTGCTACTAATATTCATCTAAATAGTCAGAAATATATTAAATACACGAGTTGAAGCTCCGTAATCTTAAATATATTAAAGTTTGAGGGCGTTAAATATATTTAAGACATTTCAATATAGTTAATATATATATTTGGTTTTGTTCTAATTGTGAAGAGAAGGTCACGAGATATATTCAATATGACAGGGAGATAGGAATGAGATGTGGAGAATTCCTTCAAATAAAAACAGAGTTAGAAAGACTGTGATAGAGATTTTAAATAATAATAAAAATGGTGGCGTAGGGGCTGTTTCAAAGTTAGAGGGATTAGTAGAACAGAACGTATTGGAGATTAACGATAAAGTTATTATAAGTTATGGTGTTATAGAACCTGTTAATGACTTAGATAGCCACCAGGAAAAAAGGATACATACCGTATCTGTGCATAACTTTATGGATCTTATTTCGATTGATAAATCTAACATTAGAAATTATTGTAGTGGACTTGCTATCCGTAAATATACTTTTACAAACAGAGTTGTTGGTATTTGGAATCGTCTACCCGAGGAGTAAATTAACTGCATATCGGTTTCAATGTTTCAAAATATATTAAACAATTTTTGAAGCAACAGTCCAATGAAATACAACTATAAATCGGAATATATCTAAACTGGAAATGATCATTCAGCTACAAATTGTTTATCAGAGGACATGGACTGAATATAGAGAATCAAGAGAGCCTGCAGTTTGGAAATTACACAACATTATATCTACATCACATTTATTTAAATGTTTATTTAACTTGAAAAACATTTCTGAATATTCAGAAGTAAATTAATTTTAAACATCAAATTAATCGTAATAAAAACTCGTCTTTGTTAGAAACTTCCACAGGCTTCCTCTGAAAGCTGTTTCGTTAGTTTTTAACTGAATTCGAGGTTTTGTATTTGCTTATACACCATAAAACATGGAATAACAATAATAAGAAAGTAGCAGTAATACTAAATTACGATGTCTCCAGTAGGTCATTTTACTTGCAAAATAACGCATTGCACCAGAAAATACAGTTAATTACACCGTGTGGTCAGGCCAACTTTATGATAACATAGGATCTATAATATTTTACATATAAGATACCTTTGAAAGTTGCTCCTGTACACGAGGGCCTGTGTTGAGCTAATGAAAACAAAATATTGTAATATTTATTGAAGACAAAATGTAATTTCTTTGTTTAGAAACTCTGCACGTTTTCTTTAATTTACTACCGGAGGGCTATTGTTTTACTTCATTAAACACTAGAGAAAACAATTACATATATTTTCTTAAGCGCTGAAATAACTAAAACATTTTCTAGACAGTTACTGACAGTTCTGAAGTTTGTTTGGCATATTTCTTAGTAAAAGAAAAACACATATACTGAGCAATAGAATGTCAAAAACTTCTGTCAATAGCTAAGTTTCTTTTTATTTTATGAATCATTTGTTTGTGATACAGTTGAACAAAAGTGCTGCCGGTAAGGGCACGTGACCACGTTTCTGAAAATTTACTCCGTTAGAGTAGAAAATTTAGTACTGAATTATTCATAAAATTAGTATATTATTTGAAATCATTATCCTAAATATTCTATCAGCTCAGAAATGGAAGCAAGAAACAAACGGTTTAGTTCATTGTAATACAGGCCCGGCGGTTAAGGTGCTCGACTCGCAATCTGAGGGTTGTGGGTTCGAATCCCCGTCACACCGAACATGCTCGCCCTTTCAGCCGTGGGGGCGTTATAACGTGATGGTCAATCCCACTATTCGTTGGTGAAAAAGAAGCCCAAGAGTTGATGATGACTAGCTGCCTTCCCTCTAGTCTTACACAGCTAAATTGGGGACGGCTAGCGCAGATAGCGCTCGTGTATCTTTGCGCGAAATTCAAAAAACAAAACATCATTGTAATAATATGTTGTACGGAATTTCCTGAAAAAAATAAATAAAACGAAAATGTTTTTGATTTGAAGTCTTGTAAACCAATTAAAGCATTGAATTCGTTCATCCTTATTATTAAGTATTATGTTGTTTAGATACATTTTATGTTGCCTTAATTTCCAGGCCACACTACGTACATTATTCTCGGTTCTGATAGTCATACATGAATACCTTAAGGCATGAATAAATTATATTTTAGTTCCTGTTGTTTGATTTTACTTTTTTTTTCTGGATTATTTCAAGTAAACATAAGATATGTTGCAAATTTATGTTTTGAAACAATAGTAAAATAATGAATGCAATCGTTTACACGTATAATTATCAAACAGTAAGAAATTCATAAACTATTTTTACTGATTTACTCTTCCAAACTGTTTGTTTGCGTTTCGTTTTACGTCATTAAGAAATTTCGTATAAATGAAGATGCTATTGCAGGGAGGAGGCGGCATTTACCCTAAAATATATTTGGAAAAAGAGTAAAGAAAGCACCGTTGTATATATATATTAGACAAATATTAATTTCGATGTATTTAATACAATCTTCTACATTATCCTGTATACACTTATTAAACTATTGCATAAAATTTCATTTTAATATAAACTATCTGATTCGTTCAATAACACACACACACGTATACCAAATTTTAAATGAAAGTAACAACACTTGCATTAAATCTCTTGCATTAAAAATGTTGGAATTATAATTGTTAGTATGTCTTACTATATAAACAATATACACTGCAGAAAGAACATTTCTAATGGAAAGTTAGAACAATCAACTGGGACAGAAATGATTTTTTTAATAACAGGTACCAGCAAACTGCGAAGCAATAAATAGCAGTTTAAGGGTTACGGTTTCTATCGGATAACTCTCATCGACACGCATGTATGCCATCATCGTGCTATTCTTTCCAATAACTGTTTCGCGTTTATGTTTGTTCTGCTTTTCAAAAAAGCGCATTTTGTGCTCTAACGTGCTTTTGAATTTTTCAAAGTGACATTTGTAATTCAAATAAGACCAAGTCGTATTCCATATTTGTTACTTATCTCTTTCCTGTATATTAGTGTTAAGCTGTTTCCAAAAGTATTTAGAGAAGCAACAGCGTAACCTAAAATTCTGAATAAATAACTGGTAATAAGCAAAATTAAGTGGTACATAATTTTGTTTAGTTCATAATGTAAACTTTCTTTGTTATTCGAATTTTCAAATTCAAAAATTATTTACAAGTATATGTTGTTTTGGTGCTAGAGAAAATATGTAATAATTTATCTAGTTACTTTTAAAATAATTTAAAGTGATATCGTACTTCAACAAGACTAAAACAAAAATACTTTTCAAGGAAAAATTTTATCAGAACTCAGTTCCCTGGAACGTTATACTGAATTATCAACAGTCAGATATGGTGGCTGAGGGAAGAATTATTTTGTAGGACGGCTGTTTGTGATAGTACCTACTAATCGTAGTATTCATTGAAAAAAACAAAACAATTATAAAAAGTGAACATTTTTTAAAAAAGATTTTATTTCTGGAACGTACTGCACGGGAAAAGTGTTCGTATTGTGCTCTTTTAGTCATACGCAACTCATTGCATCAAAATGATTCAACATACATAACTCAAACTTTCATAAATTTTACTGATACTGACACACGCTACGTCCGTTATAATGAGATGATTTTAACTTCAGAGTACGTTTATTAAGAAGACATAACTAAAAAATATCTTCGAAACAAAAAATGTTCTACTGATAATATTTAGTTATAAAAACGACTATTTACAATTTTACAAATTTAATTTAAGAGAAACATTTTTACAGAAGTGTAATAACATATAAAACACCCAAACCATGTGCATATAAACCATGATTATGAAATGACAACATTTAGATTATATGTTTTGGAAACAATGGAAAATATACAGGTATGTTTAAAATGTTATCTATCTAAACGAAAAAAAAGTTGATAATTTGTGGAGGAATATGGAATATATATATATATCTTATTATAAATATGACCCAGTATGTTATGTTATCACCAGAGTTTGCTGTCTCGATAACTGTAATTTTTGGTATGATAGCTAAAAATTACCCAGCGACGTACATGGGCTACGTTCTTTTAGGATTTTTGCCCGAGAAGGGGGATAAAAAAGACCTCAAAATAAGGCACATTACCACTTTTTCTATAGACTTTTGAGTTGGAATTTAAAGACACAAGTATTTATTCAGTTAAATGAGTCAATTATTAAATTCCACAAAGAAGGGTATGCAGTTAGCATCTAATGATGCAATTAGGGATGTAATAACAAAACAGAAAGTTGGAAGGAGAACATTATCTAACATTGTCCTTTATACAATTTTCACTTCCTTAACGGACACCCTCAGCTAGTACTAATAACGTCATTAATTATAGGTTTGTATATGGTTATGTTTAGGTAATTGTTCTCGTTTTAAATGTATTATTTTGCATTTTTAACTCGTATGTTACAGCACTGAACAATAATTCAACATTTAAGATTGCTCTATGTATAAGAAAAACAAAGCATTTTTCGTCAGTTTATACAGATTTAGCGAGATATTAAAACAATTTAATTCCTTTTTCCGTTTTTTACAGATGATATTCAGCTTCGTTGTCAGACGTGAAAATCTGGAAAATGTAATATAAAAAAAAGGAATTAGATTATCTTCGTAAAGAAATAAACTCTCTTCAGAACCCTCAGTTTAACAACAGATATTGACTCGTTATTTAGTTTCAAACTGACTAATGAGATTTTCCGACGGAATTATAGGCGGAAGACTGTCAAAATAAAATAAATACATTTATGGTGTACAGTAGAAATAATACATTTAGTTTGCAGCTGAAGATTAAGAACATATAATAATGCCCTTAGGAAAAATTAATTTCACTTCTTGGAATATCAAAAGAGACCTCGCCAACAAGTCCCAATTAGCCGTTGGATGTTTTAAGAGATTCATCCAGAGTTCTCCTCTTTGGAAAGACGGTAAGAGTCAATTATCATTATTATGTTAATTTTGAAAAAGAAGAGTGTAAAGGATAAGTCGTTTACTTCAAAAGTAATTTAAACATATATACAATTTAACAATCTAATGGTGTAGATAAAACGTATGAAGTTGTAAATACGTTTTAAAAGCACTTAGTGTAAGTTCTGGAAGTCAAGTAAGTTGTTAATATTCTGCTATAGCTAAACCTGTTAGAGTAGGTAAAAACCTGATGACAACCAAAAATATTTTAAACATTTAAAAACTTATTTTGAATATGATGCAGTGATATCGTTATTTTTTAGTTATTGGTTATTGAGTTTCTGTACAGTCATAGCAGGAATACGTGGTTCAAGGAGTAATATTATCTTGTTATGGACACCTTATGCCTTTGTTCTTTCGTTTAATGACACCTTCTGCCTGCCAGGATATTTCAGTTTATTTTGAGCCTGAATTAAAACTATTAGAGCCTTAATATCTTTTGCTGGCAATACTTGGACATCAACTGAATCTGATAGCTGATCAATGCTATCAGGGAACAGAGATCAAGAGGTGTCTCTGTCTGCTGGACAAAGCAAGCAAGCAAGATCATGTTTGAAATCCAGGCGCTTTCTTTGTATCAGTTTGCTCTCAGTTTTTGTAGAAAGAAAACCTTTAGAAATTTGTTCAGTATTTTAGTGTTGAGGTAATCAATCTCTTGGGAAGGAAAACTTTAAGACTAACATTTGCATAACTCGGAGTGAAGAATGTCCGGCGTCGCACGTGGGTATGCGCTCAGTTTTCAGTGTTTTTGTGTTGCAACAATTAAAGATTTTGTTAATTTTATTTAATGTATACAGGTTCTCTTATTTCCACTATTTTCACACTAACTCCAAAAACTGAATCAAATACTCTCACCCGGGAAGTTTACTCAAATCACTGAGCCAAACCTGCAGCTATTTGTATGAGAGAAATTTGTCGAGAAGTCAGTTTGATCTGAAAATACCACATATGTTTATTATAAAATAATTATATATGAACAGAACCTGTAATTTAATTAATATTCCTTCAGTATAAATAGTTAATTTGGATTATAAATCGCTGTAAAACAAACGACATTAACTAATATCTCGTTACAAAGATATTAGAATTGTACATCAAAAAATCAGGGATGACTGTATGATAACCATTTTTCCAAGTTATGCTCTTCCATTTTTGCGTATTATGTATCAGTGCAACATCATCCAAAAAAGTGATTGACATAATAGTCGTATTCCTTGTACGTATGTGTTCATATTCTGTTGTAAATTCGACTCATTGAAAATTTGTCCACGAGAAATAGAACAAATTGGACGCTACCTACGCTTTATATAGTTTATAAAATCTTGGTGTTGAGATTTTCCATTTAAAGTGAGCTTGAACTTATGTTTAAAAAAAAAGTTCTGTTTAACACATATTTGGTGTTTTTAATGTAACTAACGTTCGTATCCTATTAGTTGATGATCGATAACTGCTGTGGTGCTAGTTTTATTTAGGATAAATCGTTCAACTTCACTAGATTAGAGGTATGTAAGATTTGACGTAAAGTACAATGCTCAAAGAATACGAAACCAATTAAACGAAGCTGCATTGTAATACCGGAGAAGCAATATTATAATAATAAGTTTGTTAATGTTGTGCAAAATCAAATAATTCTAAATATTGACTGCACAGTAACACGTGAAAATAGATAACAAGTATGTTGCTATTCGTAAATAGCAAAATGGTATAACTAAAGACAATAATAAGATACCAGACCAAGTAATACACAAGAAGAGCTATGCAGTAGAATCTCAAAAAATCACGAACAAAACGTGTCTGGTTAGACCTGTAACATTCAGAAATTGGAGTCTAATGATTACTGATAATTTAAATATAGAATATTTATATACCAACACACTACTGTATAAAATAATATAAATAAGCCTTGAGTTGAGTGGACACTTCTATGGACTGCACTTGCCTTAGAAGTTCGTGGAATATGTTTCTAACAGTTCGAAAGTTGTCCAAAAACTTCTGAGATAGGTGTAGTCCACAGAAATCTTCAATCAAGTACAGCCGCCTGAATTTCTCTTGAACAAAGTGTGAGTTCCTTTGTAACAGTGCTGAAAATATACCACATATGTAACAGTCAGCTACATAATTGTAGAGGGACGTGGAATACCGAATCTTAGTGAGTAACCTAACTTGTTATTAACTCCAAATTAACTTCCATCCATTCTTATTATACTAGATTACTAATTTATTTAATACTTAAGTAACACAAGGAATATTACCTCATATTTCAGTGATAGCCTCCGTTTTACAGATAGTGCATTGTTATTAATTCGAGGTAAGTCGAACCTTTTACTCCCGAACCATTACAATTTAAATACCACACACTTCAACTTATGCGAGATTACTATCCGCAAGCATCTCATGTGAATTTCTGTATCCTTGGGCTATTCAAATAGACCCTCGGAAGTAGTCATTCGTTTAATGAACTTTAGAAAGTACGTAAAGGAGGAGGGCAAATGCTTTGAGTGTACTGAACGAAAACCTCCTGCAAAGGAAACTGCACTGCATATAGAAAAATAGTCTATAACATCGGTGATGGAAGAAGAAGGGGTTGTAAAACCTGGGTACTCATCATTTATCGGTGATGGAAGAAGAAGGGGCTGTAAAAGCTAGGCACTCATCATTTATCGGTGATGGAAGAAGAAGGGGCTGTAAAAGCTAGGCACTCATCATTTATCGGTGATGGAAGAAGAAGGGGCTGTAAAAGCTAGGCACTCATCATTTATCGGTGATGGAAGAAGAAGGGGCTGTAAAACCTGGCTACTCATCATTTATCGGTGATGGAAGAACAAGGAACTGTAAAACCTGGCCACTCATCATTTATGAGTACATTCCTTTATATGCAGACATAAAGTAAATTCGTACTTGAATGTGTTTAATCTGTCGTCCGACGTTTCGGTTTAAACATATCAATAGTCATGCCTAAACTTTGATTTTATTGTAAATATAGATCTTTTGGCTCAACTTTTTATGTCATTTATTCAAAAACGCATGAAAGTTGTTACGTAATATTGTATTATTACACATATCTCTAGGTTTTTTCGAATATTTATGCAAAAACTATCTGCTCTAGACATCCCTAATTTTTAACTAATTAATTAGATGGAGGGTGAGCTACTCTAGTCAAATAATATAATTTGACCATCATTCGTATAACGTATTCATGGTCCCAAAGTGCAGAGAGCGATTTTAGAAGCAACAGGACAAGAACTATATGGGCTCTAGGGTTTACAGTTCGGCAAGTTAATCACTAGCTCACCTCCAGGCCCTATTCCTTGGTTTGATAGCTTCTAATTGAAATTTTAAGTCATCTTTATACGTGTGCGAGAAAAAAGAAATATAGATTAAAGCTGTGGCTACTAGATATACTTTATGCGTATTGCAAGGTAAGAAAAGTTAAAATACAAAATAAGGTTGAAAATTGATGTATAAAAAAATCTAAGAACACTCAGGAATAGCAGTTCCTGTGCCAGAATCTTCTAGTTACACGTATTTAACCAAAATGTCAACTTTAACTGATAAATGTTAAATATTGCCCCTAGTGGCCAGTTTGTAGTAACCTATTTCATCCACTAATCTGTTTTTAATTCTCTTTCTTGGCTCTTTCGCTTCGTTAGGGGACAACTACAGTCCCTCCATTGGCTGGAGATAGTGACTGTAGTTTTAGATGTGAGAAATTGTGGGTTCAAACACATGTGGTCCCGATGTCTGATATTTAGTTTTAATTTCATTTCACATGTCTGCCTTGCAAAAAGAAATACCTCTCTTATTTCTTTATTTTACTGCTTCCACACCGTAATTTACACAGTAGGTTCATCTGTTTGTCCTTTAGGTGCAACGTTTTTTGTTTTTTGAGGGGGGGATAGTTTGCTATACACATTTTTTTCAACTACTCAAATATTAGTATTATTCGTCTACTGAGATAATTTAGTAATATTTATCATAAATAATATCTGAACCTCATACTATGCTGCCCACCAGTGGCCCAGCGGTATATCTGCGGACTTACAAAGCTAGAATCCGTGTTTCGATACCCGTGGTGGGCAGAGCACAGACAGCCCATTGCGTAGCTTTGTGCTTAATTACAAACAAACATACTATGTTTTTTGTTAGGTATATCAGAACATTTTATTAAATTATCTACAAAATAACAGAGTGTTTATTGAAATCAGTGGAAAGTTATGGATAATTCCTGGTAATTATTTTACTACATTTTAGTTTGCTTCTTTCTGAATTTTGGATATATTTGTAAGAGCATGCAAATTTCTTAAACTATAATTTTTTGTTGTTTCCTTCTCTATTTTTGTTATCACAGTTACAAAATATTAGTGAAATCACGTAATATTCTTAACTAAATTAACTTATTGTTGGAAAATCTTAATTTAATAAGTAGCTGAATTACAAGTGCATCTGAGGATAAAAATCTGTGAGTCTTCTAAACTTCTGTAAAATTGTGTGTTGTGCTTTTGCAAGCGTTATTCTCTTTCGATAAAGATGTGCGCCTCAAGAAGCCATTGCATACATCGGGACTCCTATGAACCTTTTTTGTGAACTTAATAACAGTACTTAAATCTCAATAGTATTACATTATACGCAGAAAAGAACCGTTATTTTTCTAGAAAAGTTTGTACATTATTCTTTATTCGTTGTTTACTTCTTAAATTATTTATATGCCGACAGAGGTTGTATACATTTAAGGACCTTTATAACAGTCTTTATCCGAAGGTTTTATGTGGTGTTATTATTTACCAGCCCTTTTATTCTCACGAATGCCGTTATTTCTTCAATATTTAGGAGAACGTGTACAATGCAATGTCACCTGGGATGGCTTGTCATGTTGGCCTCCAACCCTAGCAGGCTACATGGCTGAGATATCATGCTTTCCCGAATTGAAAGGGATTCGTTATAATACATCTCGTAAGTATGGTGGTCCTAAGTAATTTTTAAAATTAGAATATAGTGAGAAAGATGTAAAAATGATTTTTTTACAGTGGATTCAGGAAGTTCCCAATATACGAGCATCTTTATTTAGACTTAGATTTAAATCTAAATGTTGTCTTGCAAAATAAACTTTTCAACGACAACAAAGTTAGAATATATAAATGAAGTATTTATATATAAGGTAGTTAGGATAATTAATGTATATTCTATCCTGTTATATTAGTTTGACGTTTCAGTAGGAAGAACTAATAAACACCAACATTTCTGATTATGATTAGAACGAAAAAATAAATAAATTAGATAATTCAATTTTTCTGATTTTCTAAATGAGAGATATATTGTCAGATTTTTTTTTACGTTTAGCACACCGAGTCAAATAACCCAAATCTAAAAAAATATCTAGTTTCACTTTTTTTAATATAAGTAATATAATCAGTTATTTTTCATGTAATTTAAGTTAACCACTTAAGTTTTCAAGTACGCCACTGACAAGTTTCATGGCTTATAACGCTAAAATTAGGTTTGGTTTGAATTTCACGCAAAGCTACACGCGGGCTATCAGCGATAGTTGTCGCTGATGTGAAGGCCTAGAGGGAAGCCAGCTAGTCATCACCAACGAATGGTGAGATTGACCGCCACATTATAATACTCCCACGGTTAAAAGGGCGAGCATGTTTGGTAGGACGGAGATTCGAACCCGCGACCTTCAAATTGTGAGACGAGCGCCCTAACCACATGACCAAGCCAGGCCACTAAAATTAGTAGTTCGATATCCTCGAAAAGCAGATTTCACATAAATTATGGTGCAGCTTTGCACTAAAGCAAAAGAGAAAATTTAGAGAAAAAAATATATAAACACGATGCAATTTTAGTCTGGTATATTTTTTGTTTTAAGATATGTTTAGGAAATAATATAGATTGATCTAAAATAAACAAGTAGTCAACATGTATTTTGCATAATTCTTTTAAATAAAAGAGTTAAGCGTTTCATTGTGTATCACGGACATGAAAATATAAATAAAGAAACACAAACATTTGGGAACAAACAACTCATTAATTGTCGTCTTAAATAATATCAAATGAAATTTCTCCAGAACTTTATTTTTAATTTTTGCATAAATTATAGCTAGGCTTAATAATTCCCAATAATTTCCATTTCGCAGAACTCCGCGGATTATTTTCACACCATAATCACCATCTCCTGAATATAAGCTTCAATGAATTCAGATCATTTGACTTCTCCATTACAACCTTTAAAACTGTTTGGGAAACGTTGGGCATTACTTTAATAACAACAATAATGTTTTCAAAATCCGAGCTTAGACCCAATTACGCGTCAATGCATCACGGCTTCAATAAATCGTGGTTTCTTAGCGTCACCGACTAATACTACGTATTGTTTTCAAAATTACAGTATAGAAATAACCGATTAATGATATTTTGTTCACATAAAATGGAAAGAATTTAAAAAAATTAAGTCGATTATAAATTTTTCCAATTTACTATCATTTTGTTATTATTTTCTAAATCTAACTAAAACATTTTTCGTAACATTTCTGATGATATTTGGGAAGATAAGGTGTAGAAAATTCGGGAGGACAAATCTTTATGGCTATAAAAACAAGTTGACTGCAGAGTTTACCCATATTTCTCGTAATTTGCCTATTGAAGAGGTTTGCAGAAAATAGCACTTCGGTCTATATCTTATCTCCTACAAGTCATTACCCAGTAAATTTTACATTCAATACCGGAACTCATAGTTTGGGCTAGACGACCAAAGACAAAAGATTGATTCTATGGCACAATATATATGAATCTTTTTTTAGTGATTCTGTCCTCCTTACACAGCTGTGTAATTCATACAACCACGAAAACGGAAAATAGGAATCAGCTGTGTAATTCATACAACCACGAAAACGGAAAATAGGAATCAGCTGTGTAATTCATACAACCAAGAAAACGGAAAGTAGGAATCAGCTTTGTAATTCATACAACCAAGAAAACGGAAAGTAGGAATCAGCTTTGTAATTCATACAACCAAGAAAACGGAAAATAGGAATCAGCTGTGTAATTCATACAACCAAGAAAACGGAAAGTAGGAATCAGCTTTGTAATTCATACAACCAAGAAAACGGAAAGTAGGAATCAGCTTTGTAATTCATACAACCAAGAAAACGGAAAATAGGAATCAGCTGTGTAATTCATACAACCAGGAAAAGTAGGAATTAGCTTTGTAATTCATACAACCAAGAAAACGGAAAGTAAGAATCAGCTTTGTAATTCATACAAACATAAAAACGGAAAGGAGGAATCAGCTTTGTAATTCATACAAACATAAAAATGGAAAGTAGGAAACAAACGACTCAAAAGTGTTTTTCAACTATAGATTTTAATGGTCTAATAAGTGTGATTATACCATGTTTTGTTTATCACTCTAAAATTAAACGTTATCAGAAACACACTTGTGATAGGGAGAATCTTAATTATGATAACTGACAGAATTATAGAACAGGCGGAATCCACGTTTCCAAACCTTATTTGTTGCATTTGTTAACATTAGAATCACTCATTCGACACACAGAGACACATATAAACTAAACTAAGGAAAACATTTGTTATACTTTGCTATCATCTACTTGTTGACACCAGCCGTTCGTTGCTCTGGCAATTTTTCAAAGAAGAAAAATACTAGGTATTTCTTCTGGAGCTTAATCTTGTCTACGCTAGATCTTTATCGATTCTATTTACTTTTCTGCTAAGCTTTTTTTGAAAAAAATAAATATATATACTTTTTGTTTCATGACATATAGTATTCTCATTTTAAAGAACACGTAACGTTGAGATCAATCCCTGTTTATAATTATTTTAATTATATTTTATAGCTATTGTATTCATTTGCACATGGACTAAATAGAAATGATCACAATTAAACTATTGAGAAAAAAAATATGTAACTTTTTTATTTGCTTTGATTGGGATTTGGCATAAGTTTGTACGATTTGAAAGTTGTACTACAAACCAGAGAAACATATTTCCGCTAAAGGTTGGAAATACATGCTTGTATAAAAATAAAAATATACATTTTCTTTCTTTTACTTTGAGCATAAAGTTACACAATGTATTATCTATGCTCTGTCTGTGTTGGGTATCGAAACCCAATGTTTAGCGTTATAAGCCATCAGCTTACCACTGAGCCTCCAGAAAGGAAGAAAACATTCCATAAATACCTAAGTACTAATACATTTTTCTTAATACTTTATCTTCTATTTTGATCAAGAAAATATTTATGAAAAATGAGGAAAAACAGAGATATTAGGTTTTACTTTAAGTCTATTTAAATTTTGATTCATATAATAAGAGCAACAATAACTAATTAATTAGGTTCGTAAAATAATTTCACTAATTTGTAGTAAAACATCTTTAAACAAACGAATCATAATTAAACACGCATTTGAGTTACATGAGAACACATTCGGCCCGGCATGGCCAGGTGGTTAGGGCGCTCGACTCGCAATCTGAGGGTAGCGGGTTCGAATCCCCATCACACCAAACATGCTCGCCCGTTATAATCTGACGGTCAATCCCACTATTCGTTGATAAAAGAGTTGGCGGTGGGTGGTGATGACTAGCCGCCTTTCTTCCTGTCTTACACTGCTAGATTAGGGATGGCTAGCGCAGATAACCCTCGTGTAACTTTGCGTGAAATTCAAAACAAACAAACAATTTAAAATATCTTTAGTTAGGTATATCAGAGCTGATTTTAATTTACCATCTGAGATACTAAATTATTTTTACTTAGTGAATTAAATACTCAGACACCGGTTGAACACGTCTTTACTCAAACTTTAGGTAGCGATTGATACTCATAAAACGCTAGAAAGTGATTGAGACGTATTTTATGCTTTTGGATATAGTAGAAACGTGTGTTAATTAATCTAAAGTTTCAGGGGTTGATAGAATATACAAATGTTACACTACAAAACATAAAAAAAACTACGAGTTGCAATTTTAAAGCTTCTTTGTATAGAAGGAATTTCAGTAGTTGAAAAGAATAGTTGTTTTGCAATTTTCAGGCTGCTAATCTTGTCCGTTCGGAGGCTGTTACTTTTTTTGTTTGCTGTTAAGCACAAAGCTACATAATGGGCTATCTATGCCGTGCCCACAACGAGTATCGCAACTCGGTTTTTAGCTGTGTAAGCCCGTAGACTTACCGCTGAACTACTACTGAGGGGCGAGGGTGTTACTACCTTGGTTATTATGTGTGTGTGCTATTCATCAAGCTTTCTCTTTATTTTAAAACTACAGTTTTTTTTGTTTATGGTTGCACAGAAAACGCTAGTCGGTTATGCTACGAAAATGGAACTTGGGCAGAAAAATCTGACTATTCAAACTGTAAACCCTTGTCAACTGAAGACGGACTTCTACAGGTAGGTTTTCATCTTGTTTTATGTGAGTTGACTTTTCAAAACTGTAATATATACTAGTAGTTAAATATAATACTCCATGTATACATTCTTTATAGACTTGAACTATTCAGAGTACCCTTCTATAAGTCTACCTGATAACAAATACATTTCATTGTTTCAAAAATCATTAAGCAGCAGTGGACGAAATAGATTGTAAGATCTAGTGTAATTTTCACTATTTAAGACTTAAAGAATGACAGCTTAACAGAATAAAAGTTAAAAACAAAAAAAGTAAACGTTACTGAAACGTCATCGGCTGGGTGATGTAGTAATTATTTTCATATCACTTTCTCATTCAAAGCTTAGGTGTACGTCTTCGGATTTATCAAACTCTGTGAGGAGGAAAACAACTAACATTACTTCAATTTGTTGGATGTTGTACTACATATTCACACACAACCAACGAAGTCTATAACGAACGTCAAGTTTTGTAATCTGGCTAAATTTATATATTTTGGAAACAAAATTATAATTATAGTAAATTGTGTAGCGTATAAGTTGGAGTGTGAGGTTTTCAAGTTCAGAGGTATGTAAAATTGTCCCTTTTCGGGGGGATGGATGGTTACATTACAGGACTCCCCAACGCGAAGTTATTCTTTTCCGCAATTGTGCAAGGAAATAAATTTGTTCTTTATAAGAAACGAATATCCGTTGTGTTGAACTGTACGGACAAAGCAAGGGAATAAGTTGTTTTCATCAGGGGAAAAAACAGAATACTTCACGTATTGAAGAAAACCAAACAACATAATACGAGAAGAAACACAAGAACACAATGATTCATTTCAGTTAAAGTACAAAGTAGATCGCGAAAGTCTTCCCAAGGGATTTATGGTAGTTTTAGGTTACAATTATAATGATAAGCTAAAATGCCAAGGTGGACATATTAATATTATACCGCGAGGAAATACAGTATTTGTATAACGTGTATGATGCCACTATGGTGTAATAGTTCCACCAAGAGAAACTTTTCAGCTTCATGTCCAAGTCAACATATCTCTTCGTTCGTAAGATTCAAAGAAAACAAGAAAATTCGTGCCATGCTATGTCCAGATATCTCCCACGGGCTTTTGTGCCTTTGAGGTGCATAAATGGACCCTCACAAGTCACCATCTGCACACGATTAATGTACTTTGAAAAGCATGTACAGAGAAGAGGGCAACATTGACATTAATGTATTGTATAAAAGCTTCCTGAAATGGAAACTGCGCTGAGGGAAATTGTCCATAACCAGAACCATCACACAGAATACCATCGGAAGAACAGGCTATAAAGTTTAGACATTCACTATTCTATGGTTACCATAGTTCGTGAACAACATACGTACTTAAAATACTACCTAATTTTCTTTTTACTGTTTCACAGACGCAACCAAACTATATATAGATGCTGAATATATTTTGTTGAGTTGTGGCTCAGCTTTATAAATTCAAAAGACTCTTTTATATGTAGAACTGACTCGTCTCTAGTTCTCGCACTGACTTTAAATGAGCTATGATGAGCACTGATGTCGCAATCATGCAGTACATGATTTCCTGTGCTTGAGTATTTTTTCGTTCTTAGATTTGCATGTTCATTTACAAATGTTTAAAGCCACCTATTGGTTAACACTATTTATCTACGACTGTATATAAGACAATTTAAAATGAAATACTACTTTGATAACTTTAATGGGGATATTTGGTCTTAATAGTGGAACATTACTTGTGTTTCGAACTCTGGTTTCAATATAATTCGTAATGCTATGTGAGTAAATTATATGAATTAATCTGTTGCTTTCATGTTTGTAAAATATGTGTATCAGGATAAGGAAACGTTATAGTTACCAATTGGTTGGGAAAATAACATTTTGTCTGTTTGGTCTCTTGCGCTGGTTCCAAGTACTTCGAGATGATACTACTAACAATATTTTGAGGAAATCAGTTTTTTCTTAGAGACTTTTGATATTTTCTTGTTTCTTCTGTAGATATATTCACGATAAATCAAACAAGATTTATACCAAACCTCTTGCAAACATATTTGGTATAACGTTTTAAAGACTAAAATACAAATCCGTAGCTATGTTTTTATGATATGCTTCACATTAAAATTATTTTTCATTATTCGTAATTAAAGTGTTCAATAATATGAGTCTATATTCGTGCTGGTATTCTATAATATATTGCGTGCTGCTAAACTTATTGTAAAGATACTTTCAAATTGATGTACTTGTTGTAGTTAATTTAAAATAGCAAAATTAAAATATCCATACCTGCGATAATAAATATGCTTATATGTCCCCGGGCTTTCTTTTAGGCACTGACTTTAAAAAAGCAAAGAAAAGGTTGACAAGTGATGATGCTGGTCTAGATCCCATTGCTACTACATCTATTAGATCATACATAGTGTTAATTTACACAAAATGCGATTCCTCTGTAGAAAACTGCAAGGTTTAGCAACACTTGTTAATAAGATTTTAAACTATTATTTTTTACTTCAATAAATTGAAATTTGATAATTGTAAGGTATTTTCAAGTGGAATACTCGTTTAAAGGGTTTGTAATTTAACCCTTGCAAAATAAAGTCTATAATTGTATTGTAGATGTCTCATTTCATTAGCGAAGATAAAGTTATGTTTAATAGCATACTCGCTATGATTAAATAATTCTAAGTATTTTATCGAACATCCCGCTAATTCTTGGTTGTATGCTCCAATTGTAGATACTATGGATCTCACTGGACGTCTCTCTATATGAATCTTTGGAACTCAAAACTTAATATACAATATCTAGGTTAATTTCTGGTGATTTTAGGCTAACATATATTTCCTTGTGTTAACATTTGATATATGTTTAAAGTTAAGTATCTCTGTATCTGTTTTTTTTTTCTAGGTTTTGTAGGATCTGATTCTAAAGTTTTGAGATTTCGGAGTATCCTCCAATCTAGTTTATACTTTTTAAGTTATAATCTTATATATTCGTTTGTGCCACCTCATCTCTTTTGTCAAGCTAATCTTTAGTGTTTTTATGGATAATACGTCTTTTTCTCGCGATTAAAAATAATTTTTGTATTCAGGACTGTAATTATTAAAAGAAGTCAGAACTATTATAATCATATAAGACTTAATACTATCAACTAATCAATGCACGCTATATCACCGACGACATTATTCGGAGGTCTCACCAGATTTCACAAGAGCTGTGCCTTAGCAGCAAAGTGGTCACTTTATCATTGAATGGTATTCAAATTCGATGACGAGGAACTCACTTTGAGATTAATAATGGTTGGAGACGGCTTGAATGGGCAATGACGAAAAACTTTAATATAAGTTTAACATAACAGCAAATGTACAACGTTTCGACAAGGTTTTGTCATCATCAGGTACATGATATTTAGTTGTTAAAATACAAAGAAGCCTTTTCAAATTGTTGGTTAAGTGGTTTACTTAGTTTTTCTTTTTGTTTATTTTCAAGTCTAATCATAGTTTCTTGATATACCGGTATTATTTCAATTGATAAGATTATTTATTAGCTTTTTAAAATTTACAGTTTTTGGAGTGAAATTAGTGCTATGATAATAATTTAGAAGAGTTTCATTTAATTTATATTTGTAATATTCAATTCACATTTTGCTAGCCAGATTTAATACTAATTTGCCATATCGGTAATCAATGATAATGACCACAGATTGGCATTTGGTAAATCTCAGTATTAAAATCAATCTCACAATTAGATAGATTGTAATCCACTTTGAATTTTAATGCTCATTAAAAAACGTATGATCTTTTCTTACTACAGTAATATTAACATGCCTCCATTTTTATGTTCCAATTGAGACGTGAATTTAGTGCAGGAGTGGAATCGCCGAGTGGCAGGATCCAATTCTAAAATCTTCTAAAAACCAATTATAATGCAAAATTCCCTTTAACTAAATCTTAATACCTTAAACTATGTTATTCTCCTATCTATACCCCTTTTCACTCTAAGTATATAACGTAATTTCTTAAATAAACATACCAGAAAATACTTACATCACAATGTATATAAATGTAAATATAAAACCACCATTTCCTAGATAACAAAAACTGCACACATTGAAGCTCCTCTTTCAATACCATACCTCAATCGTTTATTAGCTATTAATACTTTAGACTTTACTATGTATTTCTGTGTTACAACCAATTTCACCACTTTTTCACAGTAGTAATAAATAGTATGATATATTAGACAATCAAACCGTAACACAAATACACCATAATATATATAAACTAGAATCAAAACATCGACATCCTAGCTTAGAAAGAAAATATACACAAACTATAGTCCCTTTCTTAGTATTATGCTGCTATTAATGCATACTCATATTTCATTTAACTAGATAATCGGTAGGTGCTTGAAATATAACTCATGCTGTCTGAAGGGGGCTGTCCAAACAACAACACACATAACCTAATTCTAACATACAATCAATAAATGTACTTACCAGCTTTTTTCTAAGTCTAACCTTAGGTACTTCACATTCTAACAGTACACTTCTTATTTGACTTTCAGTTAATAAACTATTCTGTTTCAAAGACGTAGTTGAAATTTATATGCTGAGCTCATTTCTTTGAGTTGCGGCTTAGATTTATAAATTAGAATATTTTTATACGTATTGTCCTCTCGTCCCTAAATCTCGCGAAGATTTTAAATCATCGTGGAGTATATATCTTTCTCGGAATCAGGGAAGGCATGATTTCATACTTGATTGGATATTTGTTCTTAGATTTGTATGTTCATTTTTACGTGTTTGAAATTTAGGTGTATTCTTGATTGATCATGTGTATAAACTAACCAAGACATATGTATATCTACAAAAGGAATCGTTTTCAAAACCTTGATTGATCGTGTATATAAACTAACCAACACATATGTATATCTACAAAAGGAATTGTTTTCAAAACCTTGGTTGACCGTGTATATAAACTAACCAAGACATATGTATATCTACAAAAGGAATTGTTTTCAAAACCTTGATTGACCGTGTATATAAACTAACCAAGACATATGTATATCTACAAAAGGAATTGTTTTCAAAACCTTTATTGATCGTGTATATAAACTAACCAACACATATGTATATCTACAAAAGGAATTGTTTTCAAAATCTTGATTGATCGTGTATATAAACTAATCAACACATATGTATATCTAGAAAAGGAATTGTTTTCCAAACCTTGATTGATCGTGTATATAAACTAACCAACACATATGTATATCTACAAAAGGAATTGTTTTAAAAACCTTGATTGATCGTGTAAATAAACTAACCAACACATATGTATATCTACAAAAGAATTGTTTTCTTTCTTTGTTGAATTTCGTGCAAAGTTATTCGAGGGCTATCTGCGTTAGTTGCCTCTAATTTGAAGTGAGAGGATAGAGGGAAGTCATCTAGTCAACATCGCCCACCTCCAACGCTTGGGCTAGTCTTTACCAACGAATAGTAGTAGTGAAAGTCACATTATGACGCCCCGGCGATTTAAAGGCAGGCATGTTCGGTTTCGATCCCACAACCCGTAGCTTGCGAATCGAGCGCTCTAATCACCAGGCTTACGAAAAGGTATTGAAGGGCTACATGCGCTAGCTGTCCTTTATCTTGAAGCGATATATTAGAAGGAAACAAGCTAATCAATACCACTAATAGCCAACTTTTGGGCTACTCTAACCAAATAATAGGAATCGAATTCTTATAACGCACCCACGATCCCAAATTGCGGACGCGATATTGTGGGTGGTAACAGGGTGCGAAACACGTAACTTCGGATCCACAGTTAATCACTAGGCCGCGGTTGGGCCACATAAGGAACTAGTAAACATTAAAAAGATTCTTAGTAAGAAAATATGGTTAATGGTATCATTTAGAAGTGCTATGATAAAGATCTAGAGATCAAACAGAAAAATATATGATATTCCCAAAAGATCGGTAACTATAATGTTGCCTTATACGAACAGATATATTCTAGACGTAAGAAACTAAATAAAGAGATTAATTTATAGCATTTACTCACACGTAACTTTAAGGGTTATATTAAAACCAAAGTATTGTATAAAGTTTTTGTTTTGTTTGTATGTTTGGAATTAAGCACAAAGCTACACAATGGGCTATCTGTGCTCTGCCAACCACGGGTATCGAAACCCGGTTTCTAGCGTTGTAAGTCCGCAGACATACCGCTGGGCCACTGGGGAGCTAAAATTTTGTTTTCACTATAAAGACAAAATATCGCCATTAAGATTACCAAAGTAGTATATAAATTAAGTTATCCTGGATGCAACTCTAGATATTCAGGGTCAACCACCAGATATCTTCAAACTCGTATGATTGAAGATGCAAATCTAAGGATAAACAACTAGTCAAGTATTAGAAACTACGGACTGCGATACAGGAGTACATCATAGCTCATTTAAAATTACAGAGAGAGCTAGAGATGAGAGGACTCAATGTTTATGGAAATCTTCTAATTTGTGAAACTAAACCACATCTCCACGAAATGAGTTTGGTATTTAAACTTTTTTTTATCGTATATAACTTAGCTAAAAAGGTCTAATCCTTTGTTTTTCTTTCTGCAATAATATTAGATTATTAACAAATTTCATGAATTTTGTTTCTGTTTAAAGGAAAGATATATATCGAAAGAAGACTGGTTATTAGTAATAAAACACACGTAACAGGGTTAGCTATAACTGTAAACTAGGCTGATGACAGATATATAACTTAGGATGATGTAAATGTCATACATAACTATGATTTTTATAAGTATTGTTTCTGTTTCACTAACTGCCATGTCTTATTTTGTTGCAACAACTTGTTTGGATGTCATTAACCTTGCAAGGGTGCGTGTAGAAAAAGTGATCCTGGTATATGGGGATCATGGATTGAGTCGGCAGTGGATTGCGACAGAATGTACTTTGTGTCATCCTGGCAGGGTCTCATTTGCCTTGTATAAATATTGATCGTTTTGTTGAACTGTTCCTGTAGTCAATCGTACATGCAGAGGAAGACATTCTACAGGAACAAAGGGGCCTTTCAGACACGGTGGCAAAAATATCTTAGCAAGCCCAAAAAGGTCAACTCGCCAAATTACGCGTGAAGTAGGAGTTCCAAAGAAGCGCCTCCCAGATTCTTAAGCAATATAACTTCTATTCTTATAAGCTGCACATATCCGAGGGAGTGTTGGCTTACAAAAGATGTTTTGGACAGATTACGCAACGTTTTACATCAACGGTAAAATTAACCACCATAATTGCCACTTCTGGTTCCATTGACTCACAGTAAGTTACAGGAACCCGAGATCAAGGAGCAAACAGTGGTGATATAGAGTGTTATACTGTTGGTCTATTTTGTGACATTGATTGATAAAGTCCACCTTATTTTTCTACAGAAACATGTTGACATGGAGATCATAGATTTACAAAACTTGCAAGAGGACACGTGTGTACATGAAGTCGCGGGCAGGTGGTAAATTATCTATGCGTGTGAGTGAGTGTGTATATCAGTATTCAGTAACTTGTCTTAAGTTAGTGTCTACCGGTACCCAGTGCGTCCTTATTCAATTACACAACATATTTTAATTTCTACAGGTACTCTGGGATGTAAAAGAAGCGACTACAGTGTATTACGCTGGCTACGGACTCTCTCTACTAGCATTACTCGCGGCTCTCTCTATATTTCTTTACTTCAAGTAAGCGACCTGTGATAACATTTTATGCTCGTTTTAAAAACTTGTTGGATTATAAGTATCTTTACAAACCTAAAAATGATCATTTTTCTATTTAAGTCGAGTCATTATACTAAATGTGATTTATTAAATGACACATCTCAAGACGTTATTGTATCATTTGAAAATGATAATTTCTTAGGAAGGAAATAAAATGCAGGCTATGAAATGCACACGAAACATTTTCTAAAACATCTGGTCGACAAAATACATGAAATGTATACAACCACTATCTTTAACCAGTAAAGGAAACAAACATTACTTAAAAAAGTTCGAACTACTTAATTTTTACTTTTACTATTACATAAATCACTATTCTAGACTTAAAATGTGTAAGTTAAACCAAGCTACATTCATAAGATATACAAATATATACACGTTGTTTATAATATTCACGGATAACAGTTATATTTACACATTATTGTTCCTTAATTAGGAATAAGTATAAGATTTTTCATATTTGTTTTTCTTTACAGGTTCAATAGACTTGTATCAAGGTTATGTACTACTTTTGCAAATTAATAACCTAACTCTTATTTTCATGTTCATTTGACAAAATCTTGTACTTACAACAAAAGATAATAGAATATTACATAGTTGTTCACACTACTCATAAAAGTAATTAGATCAAAAGCATACATCAAACTCGTTTATCGAGTTTCCATGTTCTAACAATAAACAAGGTGCACACAGAATGCTAAAATGTTGTACGATTAATAACATTAATGCTTAACGTACCACTGGTATCATGTGAAAAAAAAGAGACGTTAAAACGTAAGTTAGTACATATATATATTGATCATCTTAAGCTACGAACCAAAAATTTATAAACACTTTCTAGTTACTAAGGCGACTTTAAGGGCTAATAATTTGTTACACTTTTTTATATTCATCTGAAAGAAGTAATACTTTAGAGGCGACGTAATCTGTTAAAAGAGAACAAAACTTATTGTTTTTCGGAAGTACAGTGTTTATTCTATACACCCAAAAGTAGAGGCACAAACATATCTAAATGGCCTTACAGCTATTCAAACGTATAAAAGGTTAAAATTATTGGAAACGCAAAACTGACGATGACGTAATAAAGTTTCTGTACACGTAATTCAGGATAACACAAAGGCTTTTTTTGTTTGTTTGTAGTGAAGCACAAAGCTACACAATGGGTTATCTGTGCTGTGCCCACCACGGGTATCAAAATCCGATTTTTAGCTTTATGAGCCCTCAGACTTACTGCTGAGTCATTGGCGGGCAAAAAACTTTTGTAATATTATTGAAGTAGTTTGTCCATTTTAACGCATTCGATAACTCTTTTTAGAAGGTCAGTTTAGTGATGTCAGGAGGCGCATTTGATAACTCGTTTTAGAAGCTCAGTTTGGAGATGTCAGGAGAATTTAGGTTATAGAAATTGAAGAGAAAGCTACAAATAAGGAAGTAAGCTGTGATTAATTATTATTATTGTTATTTAGAAATACACTGTTCAATAATAATACCAAATACATGCTGAAAAAAGGATAAAAAAAGGCCATTTATGTAATGCATATAAGTGAAACGGTATGAGCTAGACGAAAAGTGTATTATTGTTTTATTCAGAGAGTCGGAAACTTCCACTGAAATCTGTAAAAAAGACTTCCTGTGAACGTAATGAAAGCAAGTGATGTTTTAAAAGGTAAAAATGGTTTTAAAAACATTTAAAATATGCGAAAGTTTAAATGATAAATATATAAAGTGGTTTACTGAAAATTGAAGGTAGAAAAACTACAAAAAGGTTACCTGAAATCTTAGAAAGGTAGATTACTTATAATATTACTAACATGTTAAAATGAATTTCAAAGGTTAAGGAATATATAGGTTTATTACTGAATTTTTTGAAAGCACGGTAGATCTTCAGAATTAATATTTCTAGTACAAAGCACGGTAGAATAATTTTTCTCTAAATTTTTGCTAATTAGTCCACTTCATATTTCGAATCAAAAGCTTGAAAAACAGCAGTTCACATTTACCTTTTGCCTGCTCAGCTCACCACCTAATAGTTTTTGTTCAAAACCATAAGCTGTCAACTGTCAACCATAATGACAACTGAAAGTCTACATAAAATAGTATTCTTATGTAACATAAAAATCTAATGATATGGTTAGTGTTCAACGCAGAAAGCTGCCTAAGCTGTGGAACGAATAAACCTAATATTCGTGATAAAAATCACGTTGTGCTGCAATTTTTTTTACATTCCTATAATTAAGTACACAATGCATTTCTTATATATCTTTTCTCTGCCACAAGCCAATAACTTCGAAGCTAGAACTCGTCATCACATTTCAGTTTAGCTGAGTTATTAAATTTATGTTTATTTTAGAGAAAACTAATGTTAAATGTAATATAACATCTTCCTATTTATTATATATCTTTGCTTCAAACAAATAGAGTTGTGCATATAAGACAGAGAAGCAAGGTTTTTAGGATATGAACCTAAGAATGGGATTAGTAAAATATATATCAGTAGACGAAGTATTAGCAGGAGTAGAACTTATACAAGGGTGGGTTTTAACTTCTAAAGCCTTTCAATTGTAAAGCTTATTAATAGAGATTAAATCTAATAAAACAGGGTTTCTCCACCTCTGTGTGACTCCTACTTCATCAGATTTCTAGGATATATTCTTCCATTCTCTTAGTGCGACGTATCTCCACTAGTAAAAAAGGAATTATGCTGCCTGCCAATGTTCTCATTTTGACGTTTACATCGCCACGTGCATCTGCCGTTGTCAAGGCAAGATATTTGAACTGTAAGGTACGGCCATATATTCCTAACCCTCTCAGATGTTTCCAGTGTCAGCGGTTCGGTCATACGTGGTTCTGTGACGTGAGCTAGTTATGGTGGCAAGGACCACGACGCCTACGAGTGCGAATTGGACCCTCACTGTGTCCCCACCCTTCTCCAGTCCAGAGTTTGTACACTGAGTCCCACGAACCTCCTCTTCACCTCCGTCATTTGCATCTTTCTCTACAGTATGCTACCAAGCTTTGATCCTTACCACAGCATCCCACCTAGGATTGAGTTTTTCTTCCTTGTTGGGCCATGCTCTTTCAGAACAGATGGTCTGCAATTCCTCCCTTTGGCCTTCATATCCGGGCACAACTGGTTGAATTGGGTCTCACATTGGATGACGTTGCTGTCCCCAATGATCAGTCCATTCCACTATGCCTTATTATCATTCCCGACTGTGACCTATCCTTGAGTCATCTAAGGAAGGCGGATACTCCCTATTGAAAATACCATCTTCTCTTTGCTGAACATCTTTCGAACCATTCTTCTCTTCCCGTTTACACGGATGGTTCGAAATCAGGTGACTCTGTAGACTCTGCCATGGTTTGCTGTGGCTCGGTAGTTGCTCGCAGGATCCCCTTTACAGTGTCTGTGTTCGTTGCCGAGTTGTATGCTATTTCTCTTGCCCTGTATCATGTAGCAGCTATGAAGTACAGCGATTGTACTATTTACACTGAGTTTTTTAGCTCTCTACTCGCCCTGGAATAGCTTAACGTTAGTTCTCACCCTGTTCAACAACGACTGGCCCATTTTTCTCTATATTCTGTTTCCACCTAGTTTTTCTGGATACCTGGCCACGTCGGTATTCGCGGGAACTAGCTGCTGAGACTGCAGCTAAGTCCATCTGCTCTGGCGCCGTCACGGCCGTGCCTGTCCCATACATGGACTACGGTCCTTTATTCAAGGCGCGGCTTCTCGCCAGTTGGCAGTCGATTCGGGGTGAGCAACGTTATGACAAGCTCTTCTAGATCTAACCTCCTGTTGCTCTGTGGCCATCTTGTTTCCATAAGGATCGGAAGGAGGAAGTTGTTCTGGCAAGGCTACGCATTGGTCATAGTTTTTAACTCATCCTTTTTTTTTATCTGGTACTGACCCATGAATGTGTAGCCTTTGTGACACTCAAGTCACATTAGCCCACATTTTACTGTCCTGCCGTTGTTACGACCGTGACCGGCGGCACCATTTTAGACATCTTTTTTCTACGAGTTTACCCCTGACGTTGTAAAGTGTCACTGTCCAACTTGATTGTATTTTTAATTTTTTAAGAATAATTGGCTTTTTTAATTCTATTATCCGAATTTTGGACATACTTTAGTTTTAACTTAATATATTTTTACGTTTTACAACGATTCTGTTTGGCGCAGATAGCTTAGTTGCTTTGCGACATAAAACGCCAAACAAACAACCAACCCTGTCCCTCGATGGGTCAGCGGTAGGTTTACAGTCCCGTGGTGGACAAAATACAGGATAACCCAGCGTGACTATTATGCTAAAACAAAGGAATTATCATAAATGTGAGTTTGTTTATTTGTAGTTAAGCCCAAAGTTACACAATGCTCTCTGACCCACAACGGGTATCGAAACCAGATTTTTGGGGTTGTAAGTATACTGACATAAATCTGTACTACTGGGGAGTACCTTATATGTGAGAAAAATAGTTATTGGTTTATTTGATTATGTTGTATGTATAACTTTTATGTTTATATGAAATAAATGAAAATAAAACCGAGTTTAAATATGTCCCGTTAGTTTCTTTTTTAGCAAATAAACTTACACGATGTGTTTCGCTAAGACTTTTAGATTATATGTATGTATATAGAACTGGTATTAAAATGAAGATACATATAATTATGTGCAGAGATCTCCGCTGTCTCCGTAACACTATCCACACCAACCTGTTTATTACGTACATCTTGTTGGACTTGATGTGGATCGTGACAGCTAAACTCCAACTCCAACAAAGTCCTACTGCAGCAGGAACCAAGGTAAGGAGCATTAACATTAGGACGGAAAATTTGATTTTCTCTGTTTGATAAACTAACGAAAACATAGGATAATAAGTTAGTGTTTACACTAGCAGTAGTTTAAAATGGGATTAGAAAAACAAAAGCAATAAGCACACAGTTGCTTTCTGTCAATACACTTTTCTTATAAAATATAATAGTTTGATGACAGATTTGAGCACTGAGTACGCAGATAAACGAATTTTTCTAATATCCTGTTCGACTTATTCAGGTTTGAATTAATATTAGATTTCAAGGATTCTAGTTAAATATAAATTACACGTTCGTTTTTAATTTTATTGTTTCATTCAGGAAAGTTACACAATACTCTGTCTAAGCAAGTCAATATTACTAATCCAAACGTTTCAACCTTTCTTAAAGAAAAATGATGTTTTGGGGTAATTAGATAGATGCAAATTTAATTGTGAAACGCCCATTCAAACTCAACGTAATTCTGAAAACATTCAGCAATAATAAAATCGTCCCTCAGTTGCCTGTTCAACTTAAATAGTTATTGAAGATATATATACTTATAGAAGTTATTAAATGAACTACTTATAGAAGTTACTAAATGAACTACTTATAGAAGTTACTAAATTAACTAACTACTTATAGAAGTTACTAAATTAACTAACTACTTATAGAAGTTACTAAATGAGCTACTTATAGAAGTTACTAAATGAGCTAGCATAAGTCCAGAATTTATAACCAGAATTAAAGTGCTTCTGATGACACATCAAAAACGTAGCCCTGAATTCATTAGTAAAATACTCGGGTCAGACAACAGACGTTATAAAATAGTTGCACTTTATTTGGAGGGCTATATATTAAAATTTCATGATACCGATTTTTTTAGCTCTCTAATGAATTATCACACAACTGTTTTGTAGATAAGAATCTCTAATTAAGTATGCCATAATTTTATTTTGTTACCTTTTATAAATTTATAGTTTGAAACGGTTTTAACTGCTTATAACTTAAAGTTCGACTGGGCCACCGAGTTGAAATTCAATGTCGAAGTATCGATTGCAAATATTTTTCATTGTGGGGTTTTAGTGAATATTCATAGCTTAATTTTAAAAATTATGGAACATTTTATTATTTTGCGTTTCTGTGAAAGATGCAAAAAGTAGCTAATCAATTTAAATTTATGAAAAAGATAATGTAAGAAAAATAAGACTTGGTAATCACTCGCAAATTATCTGTTCAAGATGTCTTAGATCGGCTGAGGTTATTACAAAATTTAGTGACAAAAAGCAAATAATATAAGCTATAAAATCTTTCCCCCTCAGTTAAGCCTTATTGGAGAGTGTATACGAATAGGGCTAGTAATATTAAAAATACCTTCAAAATACCTTCACTTAAGGATTGTTTGAAGATTCAATTAACCCAATACTTCTCACAGGGGTCTATCTCTCGAAAGAGAAACTCAATATGTACGCATAACTCTCAAGGAAGAATAAAAACACAAGTTTAAAGATCTTTACTAAATCCCTGACAAAAACAAAAGATGCATTCACATACTCTGAAACTCATAACAAGTCTCACAAACTAACTCTGTGTATAGTACCAATATAATGAGTTCAGTTGGTCTGAGGTTTTCTATAATGTATTGTCATCATGTAGTTAATAATTACAGAATTTAGGAAAGTAAAGACAGTTGCACGTTTCACGAGTAATTCGTTTATTACTATCATAATTTCGCCCGTAAAGATTTCATCAGAAACGAGCTAAACCATGGTAATAATAAATGAAATATTAGTAAAACGTATTTGTTTTACTCAATCCTGAACTGGAATTATATATATATATATTTAAATGGTTCTTGTGGCATTCATCTCAAATGGAACGATATCTCGTGACACCTTTATTGCACACATTAAATTTGCTTCAATGTATTCATTCGTTCCTACGATAAACTGAACTTTCCACTTTATATCTGTCGTTTGGTAGCTGGATCGTATTATATGCTGCACTAAAGCTCATTGTGTTATCTCTTGTTTAAGTGTCCTTCTAGATTATCAGAATTAAGAATGGGATTATGTTTATCGATATCCTCCCATAATACTGCTGATTATACGAAGGGCTGATGAAAGTTATTTTATCCAAAAATTCGCAATTTTCTGAGTAATTTAAACCGCGATATTCACCATAAACTGTATATCTCTTTACAAAAACACATTTCTTCGTTTAATCATACATTTAAAATGCATTGCTTTAATATTGGTGATCTCTACTTTTTGCAAGAAATTTTACTAGTTGGAAATAATTTCTCACATTGTGTTTAATAATTTTTAAAGAATCATGTAGTCATCCGTTGGTCGATGAAAAGCTTCAGGGATTAACCATAACGTGAAATTCAAGGTCCAACCCTTACGGTGGATACACATCATAGACAGTCAATTGTATAACTTTGCTCTAAAACAAAATCACACAATCACATATGTTCTTATTTCAATATTGGTTAAAATGTATAATGATTCTGTAAGGTAATCTTTCTTTTCATTTATATTTAATCAAGTAGAATTTAGATGTAAAACCTATCTGTATTCATGAAGAGAGATTTTTTTATTCTTATTGGCAATGTTTAGATGCTTTCCGTAAAAGTAGAATCTATTATCTTAAATCGCATTTTGAGTCAATGAAATGAAACTATCTGATATAAACTTTTTACCTGAAAAAAGTCCATAAGTGAAAATAGACTCCAAGTACTACCTGCTGCTGTACATTCAAATTTTGAGCTTCAGTCTCACTGAAAGAAATCTTAAGATAACATAGTCTTTAAGGAACTGAGCACCCCTCTCTCGACACCTTTGGATGATTTTTCTAAGAGGTGTTTAAGATTCCATCTATCTATTTCAGTTTTTATGAAATTATATTTAATGTCATTAGAAATTATTTAAAAAAGTGATGTCTAATGGCCATCTATATCAAAAGCAGAAAATGTAAAGTTGATTTTTTCCGAATCATTGTGAAAAACAACAACAAAAAACAGAGTATTATTAATTTTACTTGTACCTGATGATGACAAAACCTTGTCGAAACGTTGTACATTTTCTGTTATGTTAAACTTATATTAAAGTTTTTCTTCATTACCCATTCAAGCCGTCTCCAAGCATTAAGAGCATTATTAAGTCTAACTAGTATCCATAATGTTTGTTTTCAGGCGGCCTGTATTTTGACGATCTTCCTGACTTATTTAATGGGCACCAACTTCTTTTGGATGTTCGTTGAAGGCCTCTACTTGTATGTTCTGGTAGTAAAAACATTTTCTGTTGAGATTGTCAAAGTTCATGTTTACGCCCTTGTTGGTTGGGGTAAGTATCTGTTGGCAAATTTCAGTACATTATATCATACTAATGTCAGCTTTGAAAGTTTCTACACAATGTTATAACAATGCTAAAGCTGAGACCCTTCTGAGTCAAAGTAATAAACAAGATAATTTATCTTCGAAACTGAAACAGATTAACATAGAATATTAAAAAAATAACATCTTTTCTCTGAAGCCAATGAAACTGAAATATTATTTTTACATAATATTGTTTTTTTTCAACAATTATCATGCTAAAAGTGTAGACACAAAGTTATACAAGTAAATTATTTATCAGCATATTACTTACAATATTTGTTGTATTTTTTTTAAATTCATTCATTTTCTAAGATAACTAAATAGTTGAATGCACAGATGGGTAATAAAACATACTATAATTGTTGACGAATTTATTACGAACGTATTATTTATAGAATTTCAGTCCAAAGTATCGCGTTTCTGCTAAACTAAATATTCTAAATGGGTATTTGATAAAAGTACATAAAAAGAAGTATTAGAAATAACAACTAGATGTATTTTGGTTACATTCTGTATACCTTAGGACAAAGTTTTAGAGTGATACCTACATAAACCATATAATAGTATTTGGTTTGAATTTCACAAAAAGCTATACGAAGCCGATCTGCGCTAGGTGTCTCTAATTTAGCAGTGAAAGACTAGAGAGAAAGCAGCTAGTTATCATCACCCATCGCCAACCCTTAGGCTACTCGTTTACTAATGAATAACTGACCGTAAACATTATAACGCTTACACGGCTGAAAGGGCGAGCATATTTGATATAACGGGGATTCAAACCCGCGACACGCAGGTTGCTAGTCGGAACGCCCTAACCACATGATCATGCCAGGGCAATGTTATAGTAGATTATGTTAATACTTATACTACGCACTGAATAAACAATTCTAAGATAAATATCACTTTTATGTCGTTACTAAGCGTAGATCTGAAAAAGATTACCAGCTGTTTTGTTTGGTGTTTATCGTATAGTTACAAGTTAAAATTTAATTTTCAGAGGCATCAAAAGTTTTTCGTCAACTTTTATTAATTATTTTATTTCTGATTTACATTTCTAATTACCGAAGATTTTATCCCGGGTGCCTCGGATTTGGCGATTATTATTTCCCGAGTTCTCTGACCCGCCTGCCACTTAATGACTACGACACGATCCGAGTTGCCCTGTACATGAGTTTACTGGTCACCAGGGGGGTAACGGTTTCCCGAGTCATTTCTCCCGGGTGCCTCGGATTTGGCGATTATTATTCCCCGATTTCGTTGACCCGGGTCATATCCGAAGTGCACAATATCAACATCTATTTGTTTTTTACTCTTATATTTCACAATCACAACATCTTGAACGCTGTGCATATGATGTTACATCCTGTTTTATATCAGTGTATTTTAAGATGACTACTAATTACATTATTACAATTGAAATGATACAGCCGTGTGTCATGTATTAACCCTTCGTTTACGGCTTGTGTAAACCGCCTAACACCCCATGCGCAAAGATTCGTGAATTTTTAAGGTTCATAGAATTACATTTTTTAAACATAAATTCAAAATGTCGCGCGTAAAATGCTTGCATCATATGGTGTCAACTGCAGTTGAAGGGCTAAAGCGATCGTTTTAAAGCTAAGATTTCTGGTTAATAATATTTATCTTACCACTTTCGGATTTATATATATAAATATATGATGTATTATTTACTGGAAGTTGGCATAAATATAAATAACTTATAAAAATCATATTATTAGATGTCATTAATTTTATCAACATTCCACTAGGAGGCTCAACAAACAGCATTTGCTTAAACGCCTCATTGAATTTCGAATAATAATTTCAAACTAGAGGGAAAACTCTAGTTTTGGTTGTGATATTTTGTATTTTAATGCACAAAGTTTATAAAATGTAAAGGCAGTTCTGTGTATTTAATCCCATATGAGGCTAGGTAGGTATAGTTCTGAACGAATCTGTTGGCCGTGCGGGGCTTCTCAATAAAGGCGAGGTTAAACCTGAGTGGGATAAACCTATTCCACAACACACGATACCCATTAAACACCTCTAGTAAACATTGCTGTGGGAGATAGAGTTCTGAGGGATGACAGAACAATTCCCCATATACATTTTTAATTTACAATCCACAGTACTATCTACACTCATCCCTCCCTTACGCATATGGTGACGTCATCCGTAATTCCCTACTTCTAATTCCGTATTGACATTAGTTAGTGAAATTTAAAAAGCTTCCCACGTATGCATACACGCACAAACCTACCAGGTTTTGTAATATATATTAACATAAAATGTTTAATTCGCCATTGTCAGTAGGTTATCTAGGTCAAATAAAAATCCGTAAAAAATAAGAACACACATTTTTATTATTTTATTACATCGAACTAAGATTTTACACAAAGAATTGACGAGTGACACCTAAAATATCATATGAAAACACCACTAGCACCTATTACCTGTGTTTATAGTATTATATACATGGTTCTCACTGTAAATATATGTATACTGCGTACATGTGTTGTGTTAGAAAATGTCGTTATTTTCCGCTGAATAATAATAATAATAATAAAAACGTAACTAAGATATTAATAATATATAATAGCATTCTTTGGCCTTTGACTATCAAGGCTAGAGACCTAAATGTACGTAAGATTTCTGCTGAAATGAAACTAATCTTCATTCAAAATGCAGCGTTTGTCAAATCCCATAATACATACCAAACCAGGAAGAAAATGTTTTCAGACCCATTTGTTGTGAACATTCAATATTGCGCTTGGATAGTTAAAAGAATAAAGCATGCCACATGTAAGTACCGAATAGTAATATTATTAATGGAATAAATTTATATTCTGAACCTAATATATTTCGGTAGAATTCATAAATATACAGTCTAATACTCTGGAAAACATGTTTTTATTGGTTAATGAAATAACACAAGAAGCTATAATGTAGTGTGTGGAATAAAGCAACAATTGCTAAAACACGACAAATATAAGGTGGCCCAAGATTATCTTTCCTATTTTGAAATTAAATAATTAACTAACTACCAAAATACAAACATGCAGTTTTCAACATCTTGTAGCCCAACTCAAACGGTTTTTATTGACATGTCAGTAGACTTCAACATGAGCACTATTAGTGACTCTCAGCATGTCTAACTGCTGTTCGATTTCAGTCCTCGTTTGGTGCAGCATGCCCACAATTACTGTGGCGATGGCATCCGTTGTCCTGGTCTTTAGCTCCGTGATGTTTGCTATAGGTGTGCTATAAACGATATCCTCAATATACCCCCATATTTCTATCCTGTAGTGGCATCTTTAATTATGCTTCACCACAGTCGCCGACTTGGTTTCTGCAAGCCAAACGACACATTGAGCCTTTTCTTGCACGACTGCCATTTTACGGGGTAACAATGACAATAAAAACTGTTTTAAGTTTGGCTACAAGATGTTGAAAACTGTTATATTTCCTTAGTTATTTAATCATTAGATTTTAGAATAAGAATGATGATTTTGGGCCACCCTGTAATTGAAGATAACATCTCGTAGTCTTTCTTAACATGAGTTTTTATTCATATCTCAAAGTATGAAATCATTTCTAATTAAACTCAAAATATGCGAATTTTATCTACACCTCCCTCTCAAAAAAGTACAAGTTGGATATTAGAAATCACGTTAAATCGTTTTTCATAATTAAGAATTCTGATTAAAAGTAAGTTAATTGAATAGAGCAGAACTAAATACATTAAGACAAAATACCCAATAATGAATCCAATTCTGTATAACAAATTGACTAGAGACGTTTAGGCTATAAATAAGTACAATAGAAAAGTAAAATAATTATTAAAAAGCACATCGAAGCATTAGTTGGGCACACCTTTGCTGTAAATATTAGTTTCGACCGTAATCCCAATAATAACCTTATGATTTTAGTTAAGTCTAAAATATTTGAGTTAGTTTGAAATCCACATACTAATACAAATATTAAACATAGTTCTCATCAGTGTAATTTTAATTAAAAAAAAATATAAGAATAATTTCAGAGATATAATGAAATCCTAATTTTGAGGTGCTTAAACAAAATTGAAATTAGGTGTTTATTTAATTTATAGATAGTGTTGTGTGAATCAAGGAACGCATGAATTTGACAGACAATTTACTCTTCCAGTTTCATACTGTCGTAGGGTTACGGTGACACAAAATGTACATCTGCACTGAATTTTCAATCTCACAGATTTGGCAACATTTTGGAATAAAATGCAATGTTCTTGTTATCAGTTCGGCTTTAACAAAAATACCATAGGACAAATATTTCAAAAAAATGTTGAAAAAGTCTTTTTAGAAAATTAACTTAAGGAAACGCATACCTACTTAGTGCAAGATAATCTTTACAAATGTCGAAAGCGTATATAATCGTAATGAATGTTTTATGTGAAAAATTGCATTGTAGTGAACTACACTGCTTCATGTTGATATTAAATATATAATAAAGACTTAGATGTTGAAATCTTCTTTAATTTTTTTTGATGATGCATTTTAAAGGCTACGATAATTTCCATTTTTGTCCAAAAAATATTTTTCAGAAAAGCAGGTATATTGTGCGTATGCTCATTAAGAAAAATATATTTACTGTGATTTGAAAAATCTTATTTATCTTGTGTTGTGACATTTTTACAAGCTTCTGTATAAACGGAAACGAAAATAATATAGATACGATCGATACAATTTAACTTTATATTTAAAATGTAAAGCCTAATAAATAATGCAAATTAGTCTTCATGCGAAATAACAACGTATGCACTTTTTTATATTCATGAAGGGTTTAGATATACTTTATTTCAATATACAACAGTCGTGTTATTTATTATTTAATTAAGGAAGCCAACATTCGCGGGGAATGCAACATGTCTACGCTACGCAATCCCAACATAGTCAATTTTGACACCAGAAAAATCTTGAAAACACAGAAAAATCA